GTTATGCTATGGCATCCCATACATGTAGAACTGTAGAATTTCATCTACTGAATTCAGTTGGCCTGACATTTGAATGCTGCTAAATAGAGTTATCACTTATCAGTTCAGTTGCCTGCTGATTGCTTGGTTAGCGTCACAGAAACCAACAACTTTGTTGAAGCATTTGATCTTGAACACTTTGCTTGGTTGATTTGTTTTGCAGCTATCTGGTTCCAAAATACGAGCATGTACCACTTCAGCATGTTTCACACCTCCCATCACTTGGAGCCCATTGTAGCAACTGAGGATGAGGTGAGCACACCCTCTGATTAACTTCTTTGAGCATGGCAGTTGGAGTTTTTATTGACATATCTATATGTGATGTCCTTGAGATTGAAGCCGAAGTGAAGGCAGTAAAAAGAGTCGCCGATAATTTTTGCCCGCTTAAAATTGTATTGGACAGAGTGGTTTTGACCTCAACCGGTGTGCTTCTTGGCCTGTGGCAGGTTTGGATCTCAAGAGACCCTGTTCTGTCTGATTTTTTCTGATTGATATTAAACTCACGTAACCTTAGTATGCAATCCTCTATCCTGAATTCCTGAGAAGTATTCGAACTGAAATATAGGTAATTATATTGAAGAAAATTTCTTATTTGGCCCTGGTTGAAACTTGTCTTTCTTTCTTGGCCCCGAAACAAATTTTCTTACCTATTTGGCCTCTCTTGAAGTTTTGATTCCCAATATGGCCTTACTGTGAGGATCTCTGTCAACTTTACGTCTTTACCATGACTGAGTTAGAAGTTTTTACTGAAGAGACGAAAATACCCCTAGGCTAACTAAGACCATCCTCTCAGTTAAAAAAAAAAGACCGAATCCTCTCTTTCCCTTCTCTGTCGGTCTCGTCTCCCTCCCACAGCCTCCCTCACACGGACCAAGATCCTATGCAGTTGTAACTTCTACTGCAACTTAAGCAGTAGTACATCTGAGCCATTCAAGCAATGCCTTGGATGAGAGCTATCCTTTCTGTGGCGCGTCGCCTTCCACGGCAGCTCACGCTTGTGAGCCCAGCTGCCTGTGCTGCCACCGTAGCCTGCCGTGTAGTCGCTCTGTGCCGCGAGCCTGGCTGCTGGCATGGCCCTCCGCGGCAGCTCACGCCCACGAGCCCGGCTGCCCACGCCGCCGCCGCAGCCTGCCATGCAGTCTCACGGTCTCGCCATGCTGCGAGCCCATCCGCGTGTGGCAACACTGCCGTGGAGCTTGCAAGCCTGGCCGCCTCGCCACCGCACCTAGCACTCACCGTCCTCCATGCTAGCCTGCTGTACTGCACGAACGGAAGAACACCGAAGAGGAGACGACATGATGGAGAACAGGTCCATGGGCACAAAGAACATATGACTGAAGACGTATCTAAATTGTGCGAGGAACTAACTAGCAAAGAGGATTGGCACAGGCACACAAGATTGAGAACAACAATTTGTTCGAAGGGTGCTCAAAATTACGTTGGTATGCTACCTGGGTTCCCTTTGGTTTCTCATAATGTCTTAGGGATAAATTGGTCATTTCATGTACCACTTAACACCTCTAGAGGCAGCAGATGACGGTAAGGCTAGATTGGAAATCAAAACTTTAGGTGAGGCCAAATAGATAAGAAAATTTGTTTCAGGGCCAAGGAAGAAAGGCAAGTTTCAACCAGGGCCAAATAAGAAATTTTCTCATATTGAGATTTTCTCAATTATATTTGGTGTTTTTAGGTTCAATCTGGTACTGATCCTGCAGAAATCCGCTCAAGATTGAGAGAAGTTCTTCCTCGAGCACCTCAAAAGCAACTGGTATGAGCAGCTCAAGATTTGATAGAACTGTTAAGTGATTTTTATTCCATTGCCAAGAGATAGCATTATCTTGATAAAGAAACATCAACAAAAGAACAACATTTGCCTAACAAATTGATTTTGGTTCTGGATAAATTTAATGTTCAAATATAGTGGTGCAGTATGTAGTTATTGGTACGGATGGCTATTTACATAATATCTTGAAATTTCAATTAATCTGTCACCTAACACCTGATTTTTGGATTTGACAGTACGATCCTGTTCTGCTTCACACCTCCTTTGCACGAATTCTAGGACATCCCAAGCTCCCAGAAGAGGTATCCCACTTATAATTTGAGTTTTACGTTGCAATTTGCACAGTTCTATTGTTCCATCAATGTAAGGCGTGTTTTAATTTTTGACAGTTGAACTTGCAAGCTTTGACCAAGAATTTGTTAAATTATATTATATATGTTAGTGTACAAAAATTGCATCGAGAAATTTGTGTTCAAACTTCAAAATATTGTTAGGATGGTGTTGATTTTGCCACAATTGACAATATATTGTTATTTAAGAGACAATAGAGGTACAAATGTACTTTTAAAGACTCCCACCTTCCAAAATATGCTTTACACTGCCAATATGGAGTATTTGATTCCATTTTGGTCCTTAAAAGATGTTGATAAACGCACAGACTGGGATGCAGGGTCTGCTCGGAATGCACTCATATCCTCTGCACAACTGCAGAGACATTATGAGTTACTGATATGTGGGTCTGCTCTCCCTTCTGGCCCACATGCCTGTGACTCTTAATGCCTCTGCCGTACGCCTTCACTGCAGGGGATATGAGTCTGTTTGGAACTGCTGTGGCTTATAGAGGATGTTGCCTCTTTATTTCGCTACTTAATGATGTGTAACCAAACAAAAACTTTAAATACTTCACCTTTTTAGCGCATCTTTTCGTCATCTAATTTTATCTACATGATAGTGCATGGGTACAGTAATCCTAGAGCAGATAATGCAGTCATAGTTTTTGAATGTTTGCTTTGGTACATCATTTAATTCTTTATTATTTAATCTCATGTGACACTACATTTTCTGTATGCTCTTGTAGCAAAGTGCATCATCTTTTGATCATGTCAAGTTCTTCCATGAGCTGGTTGTTCAAGTTAATGAGAAGATCCGTGGCTTCAAGGTAGGCTTCTTTTTACTCATACCCATGTGTTGGTTGACTGCAAACATAGCATGCATGGTTACCTATTTATCATCACTGTTTTCAGGCGACAATATCGGAGCTATGGTACGTCGAAGAGTATGATGTTCTTGCGCTGGCACTTCATGGAAAGATGAAAGTGCGGAGGCTCCACCTTGGCTGCAATCGTCAGGGCAATTAAAGTTATAGAGAGGTCATGAAAACGGGAAAGGATTAGGAGATGCACAGCGGCCGGCCAAGCAGAATTTTGCTTGCATGTCTCGCCTAAAGGGCCACCTCAAGCTTGGTTCTGCCGAGCTGAAAGAGATGCTCTACAGTCTGAAACTGGACGTACCAAGAACTGACAAGCTATATTGACGAATGATTATGTAGGAACTGTAGGCATATTTTAGTGGTATATGTAATGTAATTACTTTTTTTGGATGCATGTAATGTAATTTTTTAGCACAAAAACTACAAAGTCAAAATGCACACCGTCCCTAAATATATGTTGTTTTCACTTCCCGAGAAACAACTTTAACTAAATACATATAAAAGAATATTAATATTTATTTATATAATTGATATCATTAGTTAGATATTTAAATATAGTTTTTAATAAATTTATTTACAGATATAAATGTTGCATGTTTTTTCTACAAATCGAGTTAAACTTTTGGTACGGAAATGTATACAGTTAATTGGGGACAGAGGGAGTATGTTAACATCGATGAATGAAGAACTGAATTTCTTGTATGTGCTGCAGCATAATTGTGCCACAGCTTTAAGCTCAAAAACCAATACGCCTATTCACATAAGGTGTGGTGTCTTTTCACATTGGCTCGTCTTTAAACGTTGTGTGCGGTTTGAAGACAAGGCCACAAGGTGCATGTTTGGTTCTTTTAACAATCGGCCTATTCGCTGGTTGGTTTCTAGGCTAATAAACCCGGCTGTTGGTGCTGATTTGTTGTGAGAGGAAAACACTGATTGGCTGGCTGATAAGTCCTGGCTGAAACCAACAAGCGAACAGGCTGAATTTTGCCTTGCTTTGCTTGTTTGGGCAAGCTTTGCCTTGTCAGATTAGGGAAGCCATTTCCACTCTCTTGCTTTTGCAAGGAAAAAACTAGCCAGCATAAGCTCCAAGGTACTCTACCCAGATATCTAAACTAACATCACCCTTCCATAACCTTGCTTGGTGAGTTTACACAGTGTCTGACAAAGCAACCAAACTTGCCTGAAAGATACGATGAGATCAAACTTGCCCGAAAGATAAGATGAGATCATTCCATATCTGTATTTCGTAAAGGGGACAGAGACTCCGTCCCTCTCCATCCCTGGTGTCCCCAACTAAACACTAGGGCTCGACTCCATCCCTCTGTCCCTGATGTTCCCGAACTAAACATCCAGACTTGTATGGCTTCACCCATCCTAGCTTAAAATTTTATAATGTTCTGCACAGGCCGAGTTCATCTTGAAAAACAAAATTATATGACAGAACTACCTTGGTTCAAATCTATTAACGTTATTTTTAAATGGCCAATCTCACTATTGGGTGTCAAATCAAAAGTTTTAAGACTGCACCCAATCTAAAACGCCATTCTCTTATGACTGGAGGCACACCACTCTTAGTGACTGGAGGAGTAATGCAATCAGCCCATGTTCCCTGAAACTCAGAACAATGGAGCTATCATGTTATTTGGTATTTGCAGACTTGCAGAACAACATTTCAAAGTCTGAATGTTTAGCCTTGAACAGTAGTGTAAGTCCATGGAAAGGACAGTAAAAACCACCGCCCAACCAACGACGACAATGTGACTTGTAGTAACATCAAAGGTTAGTAAGACCTTTCTGTGAGGCCAAAATACATCAAATTGTCCTTTCGAGCCGAGTAAATACTGGCTTGACAAGGCAAGGAGAGAACTCACAAAAGGGGAAAAAAGGGTACGAGGAATACCAAAAGGAGAGAAAAACATGACAACAAAAGAAATGAAACAGAAACTAATTTACATGTTATTCTAGTATCTACTGTCCAGCGAGCTTCATAACCTCCGATGGACCATCCAGCTTCGCCACCTCTGACAGGCCTTCTAGTTTTCTCAAACCAACTTCACAGTAGTTACTAATGTCAAAATTGGTAACAGCATGAACACCACGAAGCTCGATTGCTGCTAGGTCATAAGCTTCTGCTGCCTCTTCTTCAGTTTCTGCAAACCATAGTCAGTTTCAAATAAGGATAATTGCGGCAGTAGCTTTCTAGCTGATAGAAAACCTTTGGGAGCTCCACAAGGTATAAGTAGTAAATTACAAAACTTCACTCACCAAAGGTCCCAAGGTAAATGTCTTTGGTGTCTCTACTCTCACCAATCCTACCAATTCTTGCTTGCCACTTACCATCCTTCCGTCTGTTGGTAAAACATTGATTAGAGAAAGTTGCAAACTTGCAGCAGACAACTAAAACTTCCCTAGTCAAGCAAAACAAAAAAATTGCTCCGTTCAAAGGAAACCAAATGATTATCAGTTCATTGAGCAAAGCAGGAATAGCACCTGGTTACACCCCGGTATGATGAGGTACCTCTCGAGAAACAACTGCTTTGCCTATAATAATAAACCATAACAATCAAAAAATAGTCAGCACATAACTACTACAATATAATTTTTTTGACTGTATCACTGACCTCCTTATGTAGGCCACAAATTCATCTTGAGACATGGTCATCATAACCTCAATTTCTTTCTCATAATCAGAAATCTGGTAACACGTAATAGTTATTAATGTAATTTACTTTTCAGTTCTTGAACAAGGAATGCCAGTTCCTAGCATATCAGTAAGTGCCAAACAACATGTGATTCTTACATTGAAGTTCAGTTTGGTGTTTGGTCCTGTGCCCCAATATTTAAGGGCAGCCAAATCATGTGCCTTTGCAGCCTGCTCTTCAGTAACATAGCTGCCTGTAATGGCAGAAAAGAAGTTAAAACTTGAGCAGTTTTTGTGTTCCAAATGAGCCCCCTTCGATGAATAGCAACACTCACCTAAGTATACTGAAGACCACGATAGCAGCCAAGAATGGAAGCCCAGGTTCAATGAACAACAATAAATGAAGGATCAGCTAAAGAAGAGAGGAAATTTTGAGGACTACTGGACAAGTAAGCTTTCAGGTGCAAATATTTACATGGGCAACAGCTAAAATCATGAACCATAATGGGCCTGTTCATCTGGGATTAAAGCCGCAGCGGCTGTGGCTTTTCTAGGTCTATCCACAGTATTTTATAGAAGGCAAGCTGCAGCTGCAGCGGCTGCGGCAAACACCCCCAAATGCAATTTTTAAGCATAACACTCGTCTTGATAATCAATTCACTAATACAAGATTGATGGGTACCTGATGCATCCATAGGTACTAACTTTTTTTTTTTTTGCGACGCATAGGTACTAACTTTGTTAACCCGATATCAGTACTATCCTAGTCCCATGATCTATCCCCATCTATTCAACTACAAGTATTATAGGGAATACTAGGTGACTTACTGACCATTGGTTTGTGTATTGAAGTCATAAAGTGTCAATTAAGACACCCTGAAAACAGGCCAGGAATAGGATTGTAGTTATATTTCACTGAATATCTAATCTAAAAAAAGGGCGTACCCAGTGCAGAGAGCTCCCGCTCCGCTCTGTGCGGGGTCTGGGGAAGGGTGTCAGTGGCAAGCCTTACCCTCGCCTGTGCAATGCGAGGAGACCGCGACTCGAACCCGGGACCTTCCAGTCACAGGTGGTAAGACTCTACCGCTTGCACCAGGCCCGCCCTTCACATTGAATATCTACTCTGCTGCAAAAAAAAGAAACATAATTCTGGACAGCTGAGAACTCCGCCTATGTTGTCTCAACATAGCAGGTCACAAGCCTTGGTAAAGAGGAGGGTTGTGATAGGCGTGGCGAGCCAACGTTAAATCTAGCCATTCTAATGGAGATGAAACCCGATAGCCTACCCCAACTTGTTTGGGACTTAAAGGCTTTGTTGTTGTTGTAATTCTGGACAGCTGATCTTGCAGTTTGGTATTAAGTGTACTTGTGTCGCAATTACCAAAGGCTATGGGAAAAAAAATTATGCGACACCGTCGCACAGCACCCAGTGTGCGGACACCCTGTGATCCCACAACACGTGTGTACTACTCGCTCCATTCGGTCGTTTGGATTCACACGGGCTTCGCAGGAATCACGTGCTGTGCTACTCGCTCCATTCGGGGTTGCCTTACTTGTTGGGACCTGGATACGTGTCAAACAATCACAGGGTGTCGCACGAAGGGTGTTGTGCGGCGGTGTCGCATATAACCGTCGCATATAATTTCTTTCCAAAGACAATCGTGTGCACATGGCATTGGCATTCCTAACAAAACTGCAGCAATGTTGTAGCTGAAATATTCAGACGATTTTACAGTGAGCATAGCTCGGTAGAGTGCATACCGTGCTTGCCCTTGCGCTTGCGGCCCTTGACCTGGCTGGTGTTGTCCCATAGGTGCGCCTCGTACTTGCCGCTCCACTTGAGCCTGCCCCGGATCAGAGCAGCAGCAAACCACCCAAATCAAACCAGAGCACAACCTCAAAGCCACTGACTGACAGGCGGGCAGCACAGCACACCGCCGTGCTCATACCTGGTGACGCCGTGGAACCGCGACGACCGCGGGGCGGCGTACTTGCGCATGGCCTCCGCCACCAGCTTCCCTCCCCCGCCTGCGCTGGCGGCCCCGGCCCGGCCGGCCTCCTCTCCTCGCCGCCGCCGACGACGACGGCGAGCTGTTTGTCGAGCGCGGCGATCTCGCCGCCCCCGCCGCCCGCCTCCGCTCCGGACGCGGCGGCGGCGGCGGCGGCGGGTTCGCCGGAGACGGCGGGCGGGTCCGGGGCGTCCCCGTGTCGCTCCTCCTGCGGAAGAGGGGTGGTGGGGCCCGCCGGCGATTGGGGGTGGATGGTGGCCATCGCCGCGGTAGGTTGCGCTGGCTTTCGCGAATCTTCAAGTGCTCGCGTCACGATTTCACAAACCCTAGCAGAGGTGGAGTGGAGTGGAGGTGGAGGTCAGGTCGGGCCGTCGGGACGAGAGCTCAGCGCGGAGCACGGGGCGCGAACGTGTCGGGTCGACGTGGAGGCCCCTGAAGGCGGCGCGCGGCTGCCCAGGCTTGGTCAGGGCCGGATCTAATGGGCCTGCTTCCTCGTTAGGCCATGCGCTAACTTTGCAGTAGCGGGCTGTCATTTTTTATGCATCGTATCGGGCTTTCTTATGGCCTGGAGGTATAGGCTTTGGCCCATGAGCTCTACGGCTGCTGGCATTCTTGTGTTGTGCGCTACCGGGAAAAGATGGAAAAAAAATCTTATTTTGCCTTTCTCTCAACTATTGTGGTTGTTCGTGTAAATCAGTTTTTTATTCATCTTAACTTTTAAAACTATTTATTTTTACACCTTGAATGGTTTTAATGATGTGACACCATTCAAGGGTGGTAAGTCGGACTAAATTGAAAGTTCACAGACTAAAATAATTTAAAGGATATATCTGAAAATTCATAAAACTAAAGTTTTCAAAAAATACCCAAATTTTTTTACATAAAAAGTAATGCAATTAAAATCCAAAAACCTAGACTAATCTTAGAAAATTTATAAAAAAATTAACCTCAGAAATTATGAAACTAGTTTAATATTTTTTTTAAAAAAATCATGGTCTATCTTATGGTGCCTAGCTTGAAATTGTTTGAACTTTTATGTACTTATTATTTTGGTGCTTATTTTCTATTAGAAGCCTCATTATATAATATAATAGACTCGATGTTGATCATCCAGACTATATAGAAAGCACTAGTGGAGCATTGTCAACATCTTATTGGGCGCTGCTGGATAATTTTTAAAATAGTTGTGTTAGCTTGCATGGTTGCATGCACCCTAATGGAGCGGCAATGATGTCGAGAGATGGCTAGTGTAGGCTCGAGATGCCAGCGACAGAAGGAAGATGAAAGGAGATTGAGAAAAAGTGGTGATAGATTACCTTCATTTGAGGGGTTAAGGTGTGATTGAGGGATTGAGAAAAGAAATTAGGGAAAAAGGATTGAAAAGAGAATCTAGTGGAGCTTGTATTTTGGCTTCAATCCTCTTTATTGCGTGATATAGGGAAAGGGAATGACTTTAACCAATCTGGTGGAGATGCTCTTGTACTGTATACTTTTCTCTTTTTTTAGTTGAGGAATAGAACTTCCAACCAAATAAAATTCAACTTTGACAACATAAATTGGCTATCAACTTGAACCATCCAAACCTTCTTATAAAAAACATTTCTCAACTCAACCAATAAAGATCTCAATAGGTCAAACCATGCAGCTTTCCATCATTAAAAAGAACTTTCAAAAAGTTGTTGTAAGAAATCTTTCAACTTCAATCTGTTAGTAAAACTCATCCTCTTTCTCCCTACCCCACCTCAAAAAAAGTAGTAGGAGGATGGAGGCAAGGAGCTATATATACCAGCATGTCTTCAAAGTTCTACCACACATAGACAAACATAGAGTTTGGCGCCAAAAAGTTAGTAATATTTTTTTATATAACTTAAAAAAGTTAGTAATGTTGACCACACAATAAGAATATCACTTAATTTTCCACCATCTTTTCCATGTATCATATACATGTCTTTTCACGAACCCCTGGATTAAGACACACCAAATAATATTGATTTAATCCCTACGGAAGGAGTTGGAATTAAAGTCAAATTCCTAGCCGAGGCTTCAACCAATTTTCAAACGTGAGATGTAGTCGTCTTAAACATGAGTTGTAGTCGTCTTAATTTCTACTCTATGCAAAATTACAAATGTACTCAAGAGAGACAAATAAGGTTGCGCTGAGAGAGCGATGGATAGGGAAGAGGAATGAACATGAGAGTAGGATGGGGACAGATCATGTGAAAAATATGAAGACCACGGGCCCATGAAACTGAATGGTAAGGAAAAAAATCCTAAGCCCTAAGCTTATTATGGATATATTGGTTATATGTTAGCACATATTTTCATCATGAAGGCCCATTTGGTTGGGTTCTATAGGTTGTCTTAGAAATGTTTTAGAGCAAGGTTAATAATGCAGCCTTCAGCTGAATATTTACAACCCACACCCATCATCCCATTCATATAGTACTTTTTCCGTTTCAAATTATAAGATGTTTTGATTTTTTTAGATACGTAGTTTTTGTTATACACCTAGATATACACTATATCTAGATATATAAGAAAAACAATATATCTAGAAAGCTAAAACATCACATTTCTCTCTCACAAAGTTTCTTGGTTCTTGTGAGCCCGCTTCTCTTATTTCTCCTCCATTTTTCCTCATCCTAGCATTCAGTCTACCTACAGCCCTCTATTATACTTGCTCTTACATATGGCTTCTCTTTAGAAACGTTTCTTTGTGAATCAGAAACACTTTTGTGAAACTGTTTTGGCTCGTTGGTTGATTTCTGATTCAATGGTAGTTCGAAGGTGAGGGAAATGATTCAGAATAACTAAAAACTGCATGTACCTGAATTTCATCCTAGTGGCCCGTGTAAAAAGGGGAAAATGTTTCTCTGGTTTGATTATTATTCGATCACTTGCCATAAGTTTGGCAGGGACTCCTATTTTTTATGACAGATTTGAGAAACATATTCTAAATCCTCGCAAAACGGTACTCAATATATATGCACAATCTAAAATCCATAAGATTTTGCAATGCATATACGCGAGATAAACATTTGCATGTGAAGTGTTTCCCGATAGTAAAGAGCAACTGGAACTGGAAAGAGTAAAAGGAGACTAAACAGAACCTGCAATTTCACATATCTAGAGTACCTTCTCACAGTAGCTCTAATTTTACACCCAACTAAGATTCAGATTCTGATCACCAGCTACGAACAAACAACCTGACAAACACTGCAAAAATCTGCATTCTAGTAACATTTTCCTTTCAGATTACAACACTGCAATCTACTCCATCGGTTCTAAAAAGAGTGTCGTTTTTTTTTAGACTGAGGCTAGATCCAACAGTCATCAGTAACAACACACGGGGCATCGGATGAGCCCGTTCTCGTTGCAGTCCGGGCACTGACGGAAGAAGAAGCCGGCCAGGCGCAGGCGGCACCTCTCGTCGTCGACGAAGACCTTGCAGCTGCCGTGGCACGTCTCGCAGGGCAGGAACCGCGCGTCGCCGCACGCCGCGCACGCGCCGGCGCCAGCGGGCCGCGCGGCCTCGCACCCGGCCAGCGCGCGCGCGAGCTCGCCGGCCTCGTGCAGCGCGCGCAATTCCTCGGCGCCGCCGAGGTCGTGGCGGCCGTCTACGAACACGCGCGGGAGCGCGGGCCATCAAAGCCGTCGCCGAGGAGGTCGCGCAGCTCCGACCTGAAGGCGGCGTGCATGGACACGTCGCGCTCGTCCAGGCGCACGCGGTAGCACCGCAGGATGGCGCGCACGGCGCGGCAGTCCTCGAACGTCCGCCGCACGCTGCGGAGGCTGGTCAGGTACAGCACCACGGGCTTCCCGGCGCGCGTCAGCCGGCGCCTTGGCGCCGTCGCGTCGTCGCCGTAGATGACGACGTCAGAGGCTTCCTCCTCCGCCACCGCCTCCGCCTTCTTCTCCAGCTTTTCATGGAACTCGTCGTCGACGCGCGCGCAGACGAAGTCAGTGACCTCCGGTATGTCGCGGGCGGCCGGCGTCCCCATGTCAACGTCGTCGTCGCAGGCCTCCTGCGGAGCCGGGTTCTCTTGCTCCGGGTAGAGAAGCGCCGGGTGCGACGGCGAAGGTACCACCTGCACGGGCTGCCGGAAGCCAGGCAAGACCGCCGGGTCAAGGTCGAGCGCAGGCAGCTGTTCCGGAGGCAGCGACGACGACGGCGCAGATTCTGCGCTCCATCGCGCCGTCCACGACGATGCGGCATCCTCGAGGCTGGCCATGACCGCCGCCGCCATGCTGGGCACGTCACGCCGCCGCTTCTCTTCCGTCGCCGCACCCTCGCCGGGGAGCGCCTCCTCAGCCGCGGCCGGATCACGGGCACCCTTCACCGGTTCCTCGAACGGCAGCGCGGTGTACGCGTGCACGCTGTCGTGCCCGCCGCGGCACATGCCGAGGGAGCGCGAGCGCAGGCCCTGCCTTCGCTCCACCGGCGCCGGGGACGGCGAAACCACGCCGCCGCCCACCTCCCTCGAGCTTGAGCACCCCATCGCCGGACGTGCACCCACAGTCCCACACGTGCAGGGTTAATTTGGTTTGATGGAATGGGAGTATGGGAGGGCAAATATAGGAGGTGATCAACCGGTAAATGATGGATTATGATAAGGATTTGCCTGTAGTATTTAATAACACCACCAAACACAGTGATTAGGTGGATGCATTTAAATTTTTACATTTTTGGAATGAGCTGGTACAATTTTTTTAGGAGAGATGTAAGTATATAGAGCTGTGATTAGGTGGATGTATTTAAATTTTTACATTTTTGGAGCATAGGAGAACTTAGTGGAATATTGGATGGGCTAATTTGAATTCGAGAAAAGGAAATTCAAATGGTTTTGCTTATAAAGTTTTAATGGCATTGCTTAGTATAGTTATACACTGCCGAAAGTTAGTTCATTTGTTCACCATAAACCACCAAACACACATCAATTTTGTGAGGTTATGTAATATTCTGCAGCTCATCCAGAAAAACATCATAAGACAACTATGGAGTTCAAGAAAATAACTATGTAATTGATTTACCTTTTTTACAAGCTAGGGTGTGAAGAGAAACAAAAGTTGTTCAAAATGTATTTAACTAGAAAGTGTGTTCGTCATTGAGTTGAGAATTAGTGTCTCGAGTCACTTATAGGTTCCCCGACCGCATGTTTGTTAGATGGGAAAATAATAAATCCTCAATGAGTGTCCGCCGCAAACGAAGACTGACCATGTCACTCACTAGAAATAAAAGAGTATCGACGTCACTTGTGTCCACAATTTCAAAAAAAACAACCATCCCTCTAGATGAAGGTACCGCGTATTCTTAACTTCGCTAAATTTCGAAGAAAAATTTGGATTCTAGGACTCATAAATGAAAAACAATCTTTTAGTTCAAACATTTTAGAGGAAAAGATTCATTTATAGGTGATATACTTAACACACTTCAAGTTGAAATCCATGATACCTCAGTTGAATCCTAATAAAGCTTCAATTTTAGGACCATCAACCTACTGATTGAAAGCAGGTGATTCATATTCTCAAAAAAAGCAATTGATTCATATGCAAAGCTTCAAACTAGAAACCTATTGATTCATCATAAGCAAAGGGAACATACCTTGGATCTATCATAATATTGGATACCATATCCAATAAAGCACAGGTACCATATTCAAATCTCCATAATAGGTGTCCACAAGAAATAGGACTTACCCAACTCTGAACCCTAAGAGCTAAAATTTCACATATATAATTACATATTGTTGGTGGGGGGTGTTGGGATATAAAGTACATATATTTAAGGATAGGTAATAATATGGGATGGAATATGAGAACCGTTCGAATATAGTTTAGCTTGCTAAATTAAATTGTACATTTTTTCTGGTGGGTGGGTAGGTGGGGGATGTATAGAATGATTGTTTACAAGGATGTGCTTAATTTTGTGATGCTTGTAAGCACCAAGAATATAATAGTATTTTATTGGTTAATTTGTATTTTTAGAAAAGGAACCAATATATTTTATTGACCAAGGTCAATTGTATTGTTTAATATTTAGACATTGCTAGAATAGTGGGATGTCTATGATAGATCATCTAGAGACCAGAAGAACAACTATGCTAGTTGGGAAAATGAAAATAATGTATTTGACCTACATTTTTACAAGGGTGTAGAGAGAGAATGTAGTACAATATATATTTAATCACTCACATGAGAATCCGGGATTTAAGTTACATTGATAAAAAGTGACCATTATTTAATTTACCACTTTACAAGAATTGTAAAAGGTAAAAAGAGAGATGCAAAATTTCATCAACAAGTTGAGATCTGCTACTCTAGTCTCACTAACATCATGTACATCTTTGACCATATGCACTAAATCCTCACAACATGTCTACCACAAAACGAGAAGAACATGGAGTCACTTATGAGCTATGACAAAAATTTCAAAACCAACTTCCCCTCTAGATCTAGATAATTAACTATCCTTGACATCGTTAGAGTTTAATGAAAGATTCAATTCTATGACTCCTAATTGAGTCCAAAACAACATTTATGCTCATATCCATGCTATAGAGCAAAAGATTCATTTTATGGTATCCATGCTATAGAGCAAAAGATTCATTTTATGGTATTCATGATGTAGAGCAAAAGATTCATTTTATGTTTGATATTTATCATACTTCTAATTCAGATATATGATAATAACAAGCTAGTTGAAATCATAGTAAATTATTAAATTTAATACCTTCAATTCCTATGCAAAGCTTAAATTAGGAAACATGTCTATTCTTTTTTTTTTTGAAACATGTACATACGCAAATGCCTATACAAGTAATATAAACCCTAACCCTATGAGTGCGCCTAGGGAAATTGGACTAATAAATCTTAGGATTGATGAAGTCATGCACATCATACCAATGTGAAACACCTATGTGAGGTTGGACCAACAAATCTTGATATTGACAAAGACACCACAAACACCTCATTGTTCGCTAGCACGTCCTTGTACTACTAAAAGAAATAGTCACAATAATGAGACATGTACAACGTTAAACTTGAGGTTCAATACCTAGTGGGTAGGAAGTACATCCATCTTTGCTAACCATGAAACCAATGGTTCTTATAAACTTGTCGATTCTTATAGAAATGAACCATATATCTTAGGTTCACCTCTTTTATTGGATGTAAGATCCAACAAAATAATATCAACCCTAGTCGAATCCTTACAAGAGATGTCCACAACCAATTTTTTCTAGACAAATACATATTATTTGGGAGGAGGTAGAGATTAGTATAAGCAAAATTTCACTAAGTTCATGTTGAATGGGTTTGGAAAACTAGTCCTTTTAGGTCTTCATTCATGCATTTAGGAATGTAATTGGGGCATTCTATATTTTAGTTTACATTCATTCATTCAACACCAAAATTCTATTCCCTATGTAGTAGAAGTGAAGTGAAGTTTTGGAACACATGCAATTAAATTTCTGAAGCATTGGCTATCAAGTGTCTATAAATATTTGGGTTGGATATATGCAAACGGTGAACAATGATGCCCTAGAGAAGTAATTCTCTAATATTAAAATTGTAATAAGTTTCACAAAATTGGGTAAATAGTGATATAAGTTAATTGTCAAACCATAATATAATACCTAAAAGAGATAAATCATACTTGTTAGTGGCTAGTTTATGGGATGAAGCTGATAACAAGTACATGCATTCATCTTCAAAGCAAAGCTTCTCAATCGCACACTAGTGCTATCAACAATTTTGTTCATCGAAGGCTTTCTTATGTTTGTGGTTGTGTGTTTCACATGCATAATCCTTATAATGAAAAAATACCAACTACACAACTAATCCCTATTTCTCGGACATAACCATTACATTGCTCATGAAATATATGTCACCATATCTACTTGCACGAAAGTTAGATATTACTGAAAGATAAGTAAATCCTGGTTTGTTTGATAAAACGTGGCTTCTACTACTTGTAGATGCAATATAAAAGGCATGCAAAATTAGAGCACATTTTTTAAAAATGATCTAGCTATTAGGACTCTTATAAGAGAAAGAAACAAGCTTTCAAATCATATTCATGATTTAAAAAAAATACTAATTTGTATGTGCAAGTTAACTATCTACTAATTTGAATTGATGAGACCTTACTTGAAGACATAGCAAAGATTCAATCTAGAACCTCTAATCTAATATAAAAATAAACCATTTAAGCAATATACCTATCAATTTATATGCAAAGCAATCATACCATGAATTATTCCTTCATGGAGTGGAGCGAAAGAGAGCTTTTAATAGCACCTATGAGTAGACAAAGAGAGTCCTGCCAACCATGGTGGTCAAATATGACGTCTTCATCATTGATGTGTAGTGCTTGTTTTTTTGGATGTGTGTGTGTGGCGGTGGGGGGTGGAGCATGTGGGAATGTAAGGAAGGAAATAACTGAATTCACCTTAAACATAAATAAATAATGTTTATGTGAAACCTATTTGTGTACTCAACATATACCACATACTCTTTTGCATATGTGAGGTGGGGGGGAAACTATTTTAGATCCATTTGACCAGGCAAACTATGCAATGCATTTTCTCCTCCAATGACATTTGCAATATATTTAGGCCTTCAATCTTAAAATGAACACAAAGTAGGAAAATTATTTATGCATATGCAAATGAATCTTACCTTGGAGCATATCTGACAACATCAAATAGACAAAGAGGGGGGACGGCTTGAATTAGACTCTAAAAATTTTAAAGCCTAACTTAAGACCTTAGCCTAATCTCTACTTAATCCATCTTCCAAGCCTTAACCTAAGCTAATACTTGTGAAACACACACACTAAGGTGATGTCCTTAGGTCCAACACACTAAGCCATGTCCTTAAGCAAAGCTCACTAGCAAAGAGTCTTTAATTGCAAGAAAGGAAACCTACAAAAGGTAGTTGAGGACACACTATCAGTGTATATGAACTCACACCAACCATTTACTTCTAGCACAAGTGCATCATGAAGACACAAGATTCCAAGAATGCAAGTGTAAAAAAGTAATAGAGAGGATGACACTTGATACTTTTCCATGGTGTTGAGGTGTTTCTGCATCCCCTATTCGACATTAGAGCACCCACTAAGGGCTATGCTCCATTGAATCTCCAAGGTTCAAGATCTATTAAGAGTACCCTTTCTCCATCTCCGGGTTAGTGCGTACAAACTAGGCACAAAGCAATATTAGGCATTCCATTAATAGCCTCAAATGGAAGATCATAAAGGACCCAATCACCAAACCTTCTAGGTGATGACAATTACCGAGAGTAACAACCTTCGATCTTCTTCACTTCATCAATAATCTAGCCAAGAGCTTCAAATGATGCACACTTGCTACTATTCACACTAGCAAGTCTTAACCTTCTATCCGAACACTCAGCTATAAATATGCTTTCCTATAGCAAAGGAGATTGCAAGATGTGTCTATCTAGGCCATGGATTAGAGAGAGCTCAAAATGAGCTATAGAGCACATATATATATAAGGTGTGTTAGGTTCTAAACCTAGAAAAGGTGCCTGACCCTGGCCGGTTGACTTATAGCCCAAGCGAGTGCCACTATGCCACGCTCCCAACCAAACACACTCATATTCCCCAATGATTGGTCGAATTTTTGCAGATGCATGCAACACATGATAGTATGCTGATTCTATAATACCCTAAAATGATTTTCCTAATTATTAATTAATTTTATTTGATTTGTTGAATTTTTCCATGAATTTATCTAGGCCAAAAATATTTTTTTACGAAATTAAAATCAAATATAAGTCTTACAAACATGTGTGTTGCATTCATGCTAGTGCATTGGTTTTATTTTATTTGTAGGGCTAGAGTTGTTTGAGTTGAATTCAAATTTCATTTGGATTTAACTTTTTTAGGGAACATTTGAATTTAACTAAGTTTGAAAAGGTTAGAATAAGAAAACCCTATCTTTTTCTTCCTTTCAGCCCAGCAAACCAGGAGCCCAACTCGGCCCTTCTTTTTTTCTTCCCCGTGCCCCAACTCGGACCGTTCAACGGCCCGCAGCCACGTTCGCTCTCTCCCGCTGACGGATGGGGCCTGCCCAGCAGCGTCTCCAGCCCTTCGTCTTCCTCGAGTTGAAAAAACCGCCGCCGCCGCCACCGTTTCAGCCATCAAGGGCCGCCCTAATGAATGCGGTGGTAACCGCCGAGCCCTTCCTCTTTCCTTTAAAATGAGCCCCACGTGCAGCCGAGCTGTCCCCTTCCGAAAAATCCTAGCAGTGCCGTCGCCCTTGCAATCCCCCGCACCGGAGCGCAATCGTCGTCGATACCTTGTCCAGGAACTTCGCTAGGTTGTGTGCGTTGGCATACATCAACACCGTCGTTTTTCCTTGAGTTTTGAGCTTGTTCGAGCTCACCGGAGTTCTTCTCTCTTTGTAGATCACCGCCGCCTACAAACATCCGCGTCAGTGAGCCTTCCCTCGATGTGAGCCTCCTCGTTGATTTTCTTCTGATCAATGAATCACGCACTCCCAGGCTGCAGGAACTGAAATTCCTGCCTCGCCACCACATCACAAACAAGAATGCCAAATGCCATTTCACAACCCTGAAGAAAACATGCCCCCATGAATCACATTATCAACAGTACCTGAGTCTTATACCTAACTAAATTCCCAGAAAATCCACCCTGAATCACGTTATCAACCAGTGCCTGAGACTTGTTACCTAATTACCAAATACCCAGAAAATAATGCCACAAAAATTGCAGGTTTCTTGTCTTTTTTCAACTCCATGTAGTTTAGGCTGCGGGGAGTAGCGCCACTCACGCATGTAATGATTGTTGCTATCCTCTATTTATTATAAATCAAAGCTGGGCAACCAGGTCTTTCAAAAAAAAAAATTACAGGTTTCAACATCAGCCCATAAATGGCTCGACTTCAATCACCAATATCTTCACCACGTTGATCCTGCTCGTGAGCGCTGTGCGTACGGCTTTGAGCTCGTCGAGGATCATCTTGGTGTTGGGATCCATGGTGCTCAGCTGTTTGTGGAATCGGGTGAAGTGATCGTGTTCGATTTGGTAGGGTTCTAGGGTGAACGAACTCGCACCTCAGCCGTCGACTGAATCAACCTCGGCATGGACCTATGGGACCTCAAGATCGACACCGCAAGAGTGAAGAACAGAGATCAACCCGCTGTGGGGGATCACTATTCGGGGTCAAGATGAAAGAGACGAGAGCAATGCGGGGGAATCGAATGGATCTGATACACCAATTTTGTTAGCTGCTCAATAGAATTGGGAATTTGGGAAGGATAACAAGAAGGGGATAGGGCAAGACGAGGCCTGTTATATTAGTTCATAGGGAGTTTGTTATATAATTGTTCTTAACCCCTTACACAAGAAGCTATTACATACTTATAGGGTATGTTTGGTTGCCTATATAACCCCTTATCCAGGCCTTCACAGTGCAGTTTGGTCATGTTTGGTTACTTGCATAGGCTCATATGCACGCTAGCACTATCCTCGAAGCAAGCCCAACCTACATCCCACTATTCGATCAAATCCTGCGTATCCAGCTATGCACCCTTTCTCTTGCACCCGCTTTGCAGCCCAGGATATGGTCTAGCCATTTATGCATGAAACCAATCACACACATAGCACTGTAATCTCTAATGCAATACAATACTAACGCAATTAATCAATCAGACCCATAGGGAAGACACCACGCTGGGCAAGGCACGACGTCGAGTCCACTTGTTCTGCCAGTCCGGGCCGAAGACGCGTGGGTTCAAGGTCCTGCCTGCGCGGCCTTTCTTCCTGTAGGCCATCTTGCCACGCACATGTTGTCGGACGATCGTCAGGCATAGGCGATGCTGAGCCTGACGCTGGTGCTGCTGTAGTGGTAGTAGTAACACCACCCTGAATCACATTATCAACCAGTGCTGAGACTAATTACCAAATACCCAAAAAATCGGTGCCGCGAAAATTGCAGGTTTCAACATCAGCCCATAAATGGTTCGATTTCAATCACCAATATCTTCCTAGGCAACAAAGTTGCAAATGTATGTAGTCTACGGTCGACTTCAATCACCAATATCCTAGGCAACGAAGTTGCAAATGCATGTAGTCTACGGTTTCAAAAAGAGTAGGCTGATGAAATGGCATGGCGTTCTAGCGGACCTCGGTGTCAAACTTGAGGCAGATGCCCATGCTGAAGAGCTCCTGGTACAGCAGGTTGGAGCCGTAGGGCACGTTGATCCGGACGATGCGCTCCGCGGAGCTGCAGAACATGCAGTAGGGGCCATGCACCTTCTTGCGGCCGCCCTCGGCGGGCCTCATGATCACGTTGGCCACCCGCTCGCAGGCCTGGCAGATGTGCATCTGCGAGAAGTCGCTGAGCGTGAAGAGCCGCTCGTGGAGGTTGCCGGCGGCGCCATGGGCGAGCATGCAGTCGCGCTCCATCTCCCCGAACTTGACACCGCCGAACCGCTTCTTGTCCTCCACCGGCTGCCGCGTGACCGGGTGCACCGGCCCCGTGTTCCGGAAGTTCACCTTGTCCTCCGCCATGTGCACCAGCCGCTGGTAGAAGGTCGGCCCCATGAACACCAGGGACTTCATCCGCTCGCCGGTCTGCCCGTTCAGGACGCTCTCCTCACCCCACCTTGAAAACCCAGCCCTGCAAAGCAAACCCACAAGGTATAGAAACATGGCAAAAAGCTGTGCCATACGAATGGCCGAATGGCTAACCAGCCTCACATATATCTGCATCTTTATTAATCAGTGCATCTACAGATCTACACCATGGGAATGCATCATTGAACATGTTCCTATAGCCTCGCAATGAGAGGGCAAAATGAGCACTTGCAAAAGCCATAACAAAGAACCTTGACATGAGATGCCATGTGCTACATTTCAGTTACCAGTATCCTGTCTAGTTTCCCCACATGTGTGCAAGGGCGAATTAAAGTACAAAGGTGAGAAAGGAATCCGTCATGTAAATAGAACTTACTTGTGCAGCTGTTCGGTGATCACGTCCACGGTTGGAGTGGTGAACGGTGTTGCATACCTGACCTTCCCACCCATGGCGATTTTTTTTTTAATTTTAACACTTTTTTGAATCTAATTTTAAATCTAACACTGTCGGTTTTTTTTTAAAACTAACACTTTTGGCCGCATATATTGTCCTGGCGCGGCCAAATGCCTATGCCGCGCTATGCATGGTGGCGCGGCAGCGGTCTGACGTGGCGACGACCGGTTTCGGTGACCGTTGACGTGGCAGGTCCTGCTGCGCCACCCACCATGGAGCGGCAGTGCCGCGCCCTGATCCATGGTGCGGCAGAGCCGAATAAATACCGCGTGCAAGCTTGCCGCTACCGCCGCGCGCCGCCAGCTCCCATTGCCTCCGCCGCCGCCCGCCCCACGCCGCTCGGCCCGCGCTGCCGGCTCGCCTCGCCCGCCCACGCCTGCCTTACCTCCTAAGGTACCTCCCTCTCGATTTCATATTTTTTTATTATTATTGATTTAGGATAACTAGTGATTTATGCCTTAGTAATTTAGGATAGTTAGCTCCTGAAGATACCTCCTAGTCGATTTCATTTTTTTGTTCTATTATTATTATTGATTTAGGATAATTAGTGATTTATGATAATTAGTAATTTAGGATAGTTAGGGTTTTATGATTGGTATTGATTTATGATAGTTAGTGATTTAGGATAGTTAGGTTAGTGAATTTGTTTGTGATTTACGTAGGTTTGAGGTTGTGTGTTCTAGTATAGTTAGGATTTTGGGTTTAGGGATTGATTATATATTTATTATTTAGTTTATAGTTAGTTATTTAGTTAGAGATTTTGGGTATAGATACTAGTTTACCCTAAACCCAAAAGGGTTTAGGGATTGATTATGTATTTATTATCTAGTATAGTTAGGATTTTGGGTCTAGGGGTTTAGGATAGTTAGGTTAGTGAATTTGTTTGTGATTTGTTTGTGAACTTACTAATGTTAATTTGAATTTTGTTAATTTGAATACTCTAACATTTTGTTTATCAATTTGTAACAGGATGACTCCTCCCACGCAGCACCCGTTGTACCCCATTCTTGAGGTGGAGTACGACGACCAACACCGAGCACACATCTTGAGTGACAACGGCGCAGAGGTGGCCTTGCCTCCTTTGAGGCCCCGCACGCACACTAGGGTGCACCAGTGAGACGAGCGTTATGCGCCGTACATACGGCGTGCCGGCTTCCTCGAGCTTGTCCGTGTTGTCAACCACGGTCTTCCGCCCCTTGACCCAGCACTACTTACTGCAGGTGTAGATAGGTGCGAGTGCATTCTTTGTACGTAAACTTTCTTCTAACAAATTTGAGGTAACTAACAGTCGTTCTATTCTTATAACAGGTGGATGCCTGAGACCCACATGTTCCACCTACCTTGTGGCGAGATGACCTTGACGTTGCCGGACGTGAAGGCTATTTTAGGCCTTCGGTTGGGGGGACTTCCAATGGCAGGGATAGTTGACAACGATCACTGGAGGGAGCTGGTGGCTCAGTTTACTGGCTTTCTTCCACCGGACGACGATGCTTCCAAAAAAATAAGTGAGTAATTCAAGCCTATTTAATACTTGCATTGCTTTCCTGCAGCCATGGGGTCTCATTTTCTTTGGTCAATTTCAGGAAAAGTTCCGGTGTTTCGTCGTCCTGGATCACAGAGCGCTTTGATTACTTGAACCCACAGGCTGAGGAGGCTCTGATCGATAGGTTCACTCGTGTGTGGCTCGCACTTTCTTGGTGCTTTCCTCTTCCCAGACGCCTCGGGCTACACCATCAACTGGATTTTCCTTGACATACTACGCCAGCCGTGGAAGAACATAGCGCCGTACAACTGGGGCAACGCAGTCCTGACATGGACGTATCGACAGCTATGCGTTGCCTGTCGTCGCACCTTAGAATATGCGAACCTTGGGGGTTGCTCGTACCTACTCCAGGTGTGGTGTTGGGAACGATGGCCCGTTGGGAGGCCCATTAATAATGGCTTACCGGTAAGTACTTCGGTTCACTATATTCTTGGAGACAATTACATATGAATTCATTATTAATGGCTAATTCATTATCGTGTTCAATGCAGCGATGGAACGGGCAGGATACACTCCCTATAGCTCTATATATCTAGACGAAATCAGCATTAGTTAGAGGGAATGCGTGGCGCAAGTACAGGGAGTACACGGACGGTCTCGACGTCCTGACACAGCACCAGGTTACACGCTTTCTTTACTATCATACTTGTGTCTTCTTCGATGTACACTATATCACAACCTAACTCAATTACGAATTTTCAGGTGCATTGGTGTCCTTGGGATTCTCCGGAGCTCCAGGACTATCTCAGTCCTGTCACTAGGGACGAGTCAGACAAGTATCGCTGCGACGTCCCTCTTATTTTCTTCCATGTGGTCGAGATTCACTTGCCCATCTAGATCTGCAGGCAGTTTGGGAGAATGACAGGCTGCCCACCACCGCTTTACTCCACCAACCAAGAATTGCACGGGTGCGTTATCGATTAATAACAATGTTACAATCCAGAGGTGTGGTACAACTAACATCGTTTTGTTGCAGGTATGACCGCAGAAAGAGGTACAAGACCAAGGATTGGCGCGTGACACACAGCTCGCACATCCATTTGTGGCAGAACAGGGTACGACATCCGGTCCATGCGGGTCCTCCACACGACCCGCACACCTTCGACGAGTACCTGCGGTGGCTTCACAGGTCTACGAGGACACATATCAAGCCCCCGTACACTGACGTGGTGATTGACGAGGGCTCGGAGGAAGATGTCATCGAAGATGTGTACGACGTTACCACTAGGGAGGACACACAGCTACAGAGAGCCCTGCTTCAAAGATACATGGTAATATACTTGAATAGTACAATTTGTTATCATTTTGGTATTAATTATGTGTACTAAAACTGTCCAACCATGTTTCTGTACCTAGACAATACAATTGTCAAGGCTGTCCAACGAAGCAGCGTTCCGGCTTCACGAGTCTAGAGGGCAGGGGCTAGGCGTTCTCGCGGCTTTTGTGGAGGTAACATAAACTTGTCCGTTCTGAAAATATTTCTTTAGTGTATATGCATTTGGGTAATGCACTAACTTTAACGTCTATTTATGCAGAAGGTGAAGAAGAAGAGCTGCAGAAAAGCTAGCTCAGAAGCTGAGCTACATGGACACTCCTTACGAGAAACCGCCACTCCTGGCGCGGTCGGGTGGCACGTCTTCAGCCTCTTTGAGGACACCAGCCGGCTCTTCTCAGCCGATGACAGGTGCCACTTCCGCGGTGCGTACACCACCACATCATAGCGCTGGGAAGGACCCTGCAACCGAGGACGACGATGACGACGACGACAACCCCCCAGGCTTCCGCAGACAGCACGACCAGTGGGACGACTGATCGCAGGACGAGATCGGCATGTCTCAGCTAGGTGGTGCCCCGCTTGGTACCCAAGGAGTCTCACAGGTACTATCAAAGATAGTTTATTTAAATACGTAGGCTCCATGAACTAACGATCATAAAGAATTATAAGTAATCGTGCGTATCATATACTTGCAGGGTACGAGCCGTACGCACCGTCGACGCGACCATACCGACGTTGACTACACTCCCAATGTGTTGCCAATAAATCCGAAGAGACAGAGGCGTCCGATGGATCCTTACACTCCTGGGTCTTACTTTGTTAGGTCAAACGAATATTGGCGTCCGAAACTTGCGGGGTTATTTGGTTATGTTATGTCAAACTTATGTCAAAACAATGAAAATGTTACGTGGCAGCTTGTCAACTTGCGCACCGACTTCATTTATTTGCTTCATATTCGTTTCTTTGCGTCGCGGCAGCACTGCCCGCGAGATTAAGTACCAACTAGTTCGGGAACCGGCAGTCCCGGCGTATCTCGACGCCGGTGGCAATTTTTCGTAATCGATTAGTTAAAATGATGGTTAACCGTATTATGAAAGACGGAAAACAAATCATTGGCTCATCAAATTCTCTATTCGGCCGTGAAAAAAATTCAACAAAAGACAGAAACAAATCTACTATTGATTTTATGTCGAGCAATACTTATAATAACTCCCACTATTGGCGCGACGCATTCGGATTAAACCGTCCAGGTACCGCCGGGCAGGCGACGGGCGCGGCGGCTAGGCGGGCTTGCTGCTCGGGCAGGCGGGACTGGCTGCGATATTTATTCGGCTCTGCTGCGCTACGGATCAGGGCGCGGCACTGCCGCGCCATGGTGGGTGGCGCGGCAGGACCTGCCACGTCAACGGTCACCGAAACCGGTCGTCGCCACGTCAGACCTCTGCCGCGCCACCATGCATGGCGCGGCATAGGCATTTGGCCGCGCTAGGGCAATAGGCGCGGCCAAAAGTGTTAGTTTAAAAAAAACCGACAGTGTCAGATTTAAAATTAGATTACAAAAGTGTTAAAATTAAAAAAAAATTCCCCATGGCAATCCCCTTCCCCAGAGCAGCTTCAAGCAACTGACCAGGGGTCTGACGAGTTGGAAAACCGTGTGGGTTTATGATGATGTCTGGAACTATCCCTTGGCAAGTAAATGGGAAATTCTCCTGGGAATCCAGTAGGCCAACCACTCCTTTCTACCCATGCATGCTGGCAAACTTGTCTCCGACGCATGGTGAGCGAGACTGAAACGATTATTAGATTAATCACTAGGGAGATTGACAAGTGGGCACGCAGAACTTGTAGCAAGCAAGAAAAGTAAGAGAATAAGCATTGTTATGAAATGGTGCAGATTAGAAAACTAAATCTTCTATATATCATTGACACCTGAGGTGATATCAGAGCACTAAATATTCAAGACAAAAATGTAGATCATCTATCATTTCCAAAATCATAAGGAGAACATACATACACAAGATGAGCAAAACATAGAACCTTTCTGAGTTATTCCTTAGACAAGAAAGCAAACCAGCCAAATATCTGAGAATAATGCCATGCCCTACTGTACTATGTAAGGAGAATGCCACTGCATGCAAGCATGGGCCATGAAAAACAATGCAGAATAATCTTGAAAAGATTTATTAGTCACCTGTCTTAGAGTAACAGTTGCAAAGTTCACCCCATCATCATTCGCTGAAAGAACTACCTTGTCCACCATCCCTTGGCACTATGATCTTCACCAGACTCAGAGACCTTTCCAATGACAATGTCACCACTTTGAAGACTTGCTCCAACATAGGGTAAACCCTCACATTCCAGACTGTCAACCTTCTCTCTCTTGCTTTGCACTTTATCAAAATTGATACTTTCCCTGTGTTTGAGACGCCTTGTGATCTCTTTGTTTTCGACCTGTGCTTTATAGCTCTTGAAATGTAGTGTACGAAACATGCCACGCTCTAAAGAGGCCCTATTCAGCACCAGAGAATCTTCTTGGTTGAATCCCTGATGAACGTTGACTGAGACTATTGTATTTTGGCCATTGAAATATTCTGGTGTATTAAAGTCATCTTTTTGTCCAAAGCTGTAGGCTGTCTCTGCCATACCAAGACCATAGGACACCACAGTTTTAAACAAGGGTCTTTGTGGATAGAAGATTTAATGTGAAAGGGTGTCAAGTCTAGTGTGAGAATTTGTGGGAGAGTAGCCAATAGCCTGCTGGGATATCTTTTGAGCTTGCATGAGAACCCTCCTAGCGTTATCATGGTTGGCAAAGGGGATGAGACTGCAACTCAACCCTAGCAAGAAAGAAGGATCAAGTTCACAATGAGTAGAGCCAGAAGACCCGTCTTCTTTCTCCCCTGTGAATAGATGTCTAATTCCAGATGCACATCGGATGTCCTCCTCTTCTTCAACACCAATCAACTCAACTATGTTTTGATCCATAAGTTCCTGAAAAGAGTATAGTCCATCTTTTGGTCTTGTGATTCTTCTTAGATTTTCAACTACAAGAAGTGGTCTTAGAATTCTGCCTGGATCAGAAAATACACGAACTTCTTTATGGTGCTAGTCCATTTTGATTTCAACCTAATCAAATTAAAAATAGGAAAAATAACAGTATTACTACCAGCTTGTTGCAACATATGTACTTAAGTATTCCACTGAAGCAGAAATAGTACATGTAACAAAACAATCATATTCCACCTTGTGGCAAAAATATATATTGAATATTCCTAAACATACACCAAATGCATAAGGAAATAAAGCAAGTTCAGTTCAGAATTCCATTAGCATGAAATTTCAGATCCACCATAAAGTTTTTTTTTTCTTTTTGAGATTATGAAAAGGAATACTAGTTTTTTTTTTTGGAACGAATTAAAGGAAAACTAGTAATGAGCAAGAGAAGATTAGAATGGTATCGACTCATCACAAGATAATTAAAGTGAGTCCGATGTTAAAGGTTGGTGGGTAATTGCTATGAAATTTTTTAAACCAGTAGATACATGAGCACAGCTATACTGAAGAAACAACTTTCAGTAATCAAGAACTTATTAAGCAGCAAAATCTATCACGATATCATGAAGGCATCAGGACTCATGATGGTACAAGGTAAAATATATCCAAAAAATTGAAAGTATGAATAATGGTTTATTAGAGTTTTCAAAGACCACGAACGGTAGTAAGACACTATCCTGGATCTGAAAACTGAGGTTCATGACAATGGAGTGTTAGTTTGACAGATACGGAAACTGAGCAAACCTGAGGATCAATTAGCCTCAAGCTTCTTAAACGCGAAGTCAATTCGTGTGGGTCTGCACATACTCCAAGCAAGTCTCCATTCAAGAAGATCCTGAATTTCCCAGAAATATCTTGTAGAGAAATATCATTCAGTTTCTTCATTCCAGAAGAAACAAATGTATCAATCAACGGTTTCCTCACTACAGAGCTAACCACAGCAGTCACAGCAAGTTTTTTCACAAATCCACATTTTTCACCATCAGTGGTGGACAAAAAACATAATTTTCCCCAGTAGGATGGATTCCTGCAAAAGGAAAGTCAGTTTGCACATGGATATTGGAAAAGGAAGAGAGTAGGCATGCATCATTTTTTTGGTAGAAAGGAACAGGGAACTTACGGGTATCTTGCATCTCCAACCGTTCCAGAATACGCAAACCACTGTCACGTCCTCCTCAGATCAGACATCATTTGAAGTGGATTTGTTCTCCGAAGGGTTGCTACAACCCCTGAACACCTTTCTTTTTTAAAAGGATGCTGCCAAGAACCAGTGGAGAAGGCCCGGTTCAATCCATTGGTAATAATTGATGCATCCACATAACGCCTAAGGTCTTGCAAGCTGCCATCATTGCTCAAATCTCTCTGCACGAGCTTAACCATGCATCTTTCTGCTCTCTTAATATGAGTCCAGAGTTCTCTCCGAAGCAATTGGCAGGCAAGATCTAGCCTCTTGTTACGGAAATCATCCTTATTATCACATTTTCGGTTGCCAGAGTATGCCATTAGCAGACATTTGACCATGTAACCCAAGAAAAGTGCCTTGCTCCTGACCCCATTGACACTATGAAATGTATACCTACAAACATACTCATCAAAGGATTCTTTGGGTGGAAACTTTGATTTTCTGATCAGCTCATCAACATATTGACGGGCTCTACCTGGAGTGCAGAAGCCTTCAAATTCTTCATGAGATTCTTTAATAGTTGATGATATTATGTTGACTATGGAAGCACCACAGTCTAGGATATTAATCGTATCAAAAGCTTCCTTGTCTGACGATACACCAAGTGCAAAAAATACTACCCAAATTGGCAGAATCGTACCCATGAAGTAAATGTTTATGACTTTGCAGATTTCATTGCGTTTGGATGGAACGAGTTTTATATTGATCTTTTCTCGTCTGATTTGAGACGTGTAACTTGCATTCCAGCTAGGGCGGTCTGTGACCCAAATCCTTGATAAAAACCTTTGCTCTTCAGCAATGAATACCTACAGAATTTAAAGCAATCATAATGAGATGTTCTTCACCCAGACATGGTGTCAAACATGTTCAATATCAAAAAGGTAAAACTTTCTTAACTTCAGTGATAATTTGTTAACTGCAGAATTTCTTGACAACGTTACAGAACAATTTCCATGCATATTTATGAAGCACCATCGTCCTATATAAATATTTGATTTGAACTTTGACCACATGCATATAGTACTTATCACAGCACTTGCCAAGCTAAAATTTGTAAACTCCATTTGATTTAACCTGAAATTTCACAAAACATATGTTTGGCAGTGCCAGGATAGTCTCCCTCATCTATCTATCTCTCCCTTAAGTATTGGGCAAGGTAAGTAACACAGTAATACTTCCCTCATGGCACCCTCAAGCCTAAGGCGTGCACTAGAAGCGAGCCGCAGTCGCCCTTTGTGAAACTTGCGATAGCCAGGACTCAACTCAAAACCTTTGTCTCTGACAACATATTGAGTTTCATGCACTAATTAGTTTTTTTTATCAACATGCACTAATTAGTTTGCCAAAGGCCAAAGCTTAAACTATTGAGAAAGGTGGGCAATATAGCAAGCATGTAGGGCAATTGCATAGCAGTGCCATATAGAGTCGTCGCATATATTTGAACCATAAAACTCGCCCTCTCCAAAAAAAAACATAAAACCTAATTTGTCCTGACTAAATATCTATTACATGCCCCACTTGATACATAATATATTTACAGCACCATCAAAATCTATAAGAATGCACAATGCAATGATCTTTGTGAAATACATTTGCTGAGAATTGAATGAGCAGGCATGAATCATGTCAGGCAGTACCTTTTCTGTTCCTTTGATCACAAAGTAGCCACCAAAATCAAACTGGCAATCACTTTCTTGAAGTTTATGCAGCCAGCACAAATTTGACTCCACCATCACAGGTAACAATCCCATGCTGACTTGTTTAGTTTCTGTCATTATATCTCTTCTATGAACATGTGTATCCTTACCAGTTTTGGCTTTGTCACTTTTGTTGAGTATATAAACCTGATAAAGCCAAAACACTAGTTGATCAGATGGTAAAATATCAGTAGAAATCTTGTTGATACAAAGATCAAGGTCATAACTTGATTACAGATGCCAGAGTAATTTTAAATCACATATGCTGCTCAATATACAGGGAGAAGGCAATACTACAAGCAGAATGCCAAGGCACAGTGCAATAGCTACATTCAAAGTCTACATGAGTTTTGAAGGCTGAGTAAGGGGGAAAACATCAGCGACATCATTATGGCTATTGCGCCATGAAAAGCAAAGTTAAAAATGAACTCGAGAAGGAGCTTAATCTCACTAACTTCCATGTCATTTGTGAAATATAAGAAAAGACTGAAATGGTCACATTAACATCCATACTAGTTAAGAGAATAAGAAAGCTTTTCTGGAATATCTGAAACATTTTTTTATTTTTTCCATTTATATAGTTTAGTCTTTCTTAACAGGTACAATATATTTTACCCCTACTGTTTACTTGATATGTAACATAAATTAGGACATCCTGACCTGAACAGTCATTTCTACATTCATCCTGGCCGCATATGTCATCTTCTGGAGGCGAGCATGTCTACGCTTAAATTTGAGATCTTGCTGTTCGAGATCAGAGTTGTCAACCATAAACACTGGCTCACCAAGCTTAACCCTACCAAATATAACAGTTGCATGTTTCCAAGCACCATCTTTATTTGAAGGGTCATAATCAGGCTCCACAGTGATTTCTCCAAAAGAATCAAAGAGCTCTTGGAGTCCATGGGAGACAAAATGATTGTATGAGTTTATCTGATGGCTAACCAGTCCAGTTTCACTGAAAAATGATCTTGATGCTTCTTTGCAAAACTTCTCGAGGCTTGCAACATCAAAATCAACTGGTACATGTGAGGGTAGGTCTGAAGAAGCCTTTCCTTTCCCTTCATCTTCCTCAGGCAGTATTTCTTTCAAATCCACATCCATAGCATTCTGCTTTTCATTCCCTTCATCTTCCACAGATATTACACCTGTCAAATCCACATCCATAGTAGACTGCAGTTCATCAACTTTGCCTGAAGGCTGCCGCTCCCCTTTTGCACCCTCCTTGTGGGGATCTTCAACATCTCCATAGCCATCCAAATTCAGGCAATCCATCATATCAGTATCTGAGATAACAGGTGACTGATCACCATCCATTTGTGGTTCCCCCATTGGTAAACAACAGGCAGCTGGTACTCGGTATCAACAAAATACTGCAGTTCATCAACTTTGCCAGAAGGCTGCCGCTCCCCTTTTGCACCCTCCTTGTGGGGATCTTCAACATCTCCATAGCCATCCAAATTCAGGCAATCCATCATATCAGTATCTGAGATAACAGGTGACTGATCACCATCCATTTGTGGTTCCCCCATTGGTAAACAACAGGCAGCTGGTACTCGGTATCAACAAAATCTCTGCCTTTACAATAGAACAGGGAAACAACATAATCAGCACAGTCATCATAGAAATGCACAACATTGAAATCAGAAGATCAGAAAGCAGAACATGTGCATCCACATGGCATTCAGCGACAAACACTGAAATCTCACACAATTTGTGCAACAACGCAACTTTTCAACTTCTTAACCAAAAGATAAATCAGTATACGATGTGCACCCAGGGCTCCACGTAGCATTCCACAAAAAGAAGAGCAATCAGATAATTTATCAGGCAGATGCATGCGCAAAGATGCTGCCTTTATAAAAAAAATTGACACATCAGACATCCATTTCACTGAATTCTACCTAAATGGAGCACCTTACAGGCATAGCAGTACCAATCACGCCAAAAGAAAAAAAAAAAAGATTTTCAACAAAATCCACCATTTTACTCCCCCCGTCTCCCTCTCTGGTCCTTTTCTAATGGCGATTTGGGCAGGCAGGCCCAAGTATGGCAAGTTCGCGCAACCTTGCATCATTTTGGGATTTAGAAATCAGAAGAGGGCTCGCCACCACCACGCGTCCCGATCAACGATCACGGGGCACCACCAAAAAACCCCCAGAATTCAGCACCGCACTAGCAGCACAAAACCCCACCCCGGCCATGAGACGCACACAAAGTCACAAACAACAAGAACAGGGGCGGGGTGCCCACCTGAGGCCACGTCAATGCTCGAAGTGCCAAAACTACGCGCTGCCGGCGGCGAGGGGGCACGGGCTCCGAAGCCCTCGCCGCCGAACGAAACAAAGAAACGAAAAAAAAGCGGCCTTTTTTTTTCGAGAGAGAGAGACGCGTGCACCAGTCCAGGCCGCGAGCTAGCGACCCAGTCCTGCAGTCCAGGCCCTGGAGCAGAGGAAACGCCGCATTGCGCGAGATGGTCGTGGAAACGAGGCGCGGAAATGGGCGGAGCGCGGAGAGGCGTACCTTGCGCGCCGGCGAGGCGAGGAGAAACCCTACGCGCCGGTTGGGGTTTTCCTCGCTGCGTTGCGACCAAGAGGACAGAGGAGAGGAGGAGACTGCGAGTCGAGCGTGCTTTTGCTGTGCTTTATGGTACCGTAGGAGTAGGAGGCAGGCAACCAGAAGCAAGGGAGGAGGATCAGCACAGTGGACGGCAGCACGGAGGCCCGCGCCGTGGCTCTCTCTGCTCGCGGTGGCCGGACCAGGGCCGTGGCTTCCTCCGTTTCGCCAACCACTGCCCCGCTGGGCCGCTGGTGCTTCGGCACGCTTTGCGGCTCTCTGTTCTCTCCTGTTCTGCCGGGCCTTCCCCTTTAGCTGGGTCCCACCGGTCAGTGTCTCTTTCACTGCTCGGGGCTGGACAGGCATCCCACGGAGGCACGGAGCCATTCGGCGTACGAAAAGCTTGGCGATGGGGGATTAGGGGCAGTATTATCATAAACTGTAAACAGTGGGTCAGTTGTTGTTTAACCATTATTTGGTCTAAATGGCCACTTAACGGTCATTTAAACAGGCTAAACTCTCATTTAAACGGAAACGATGTAGCACTGTGTAGGGTTTAAATGGTGTATGAACTGGCCAAACGACGGTTTAGACAAACAGTATCTAGGGGTGGTGGAAAGAAGAGGGTTATGGCCTTATGGTGGGTGTGATGAGATGTGATGCATAGAAGATCATGCGACGGTGGTGAAAAATTTTGGATGCAAATGTATTGTTAGCGCGGGTTGCCGTTTGGTTTCTTTCGATATGTGGCTAAACGACCGTTTAGACGAACATTATCTAGGGGTGGTGGAAAGAAGAGGGTTATAGGGGTGTGATGAGATGTGATACATAGAAGATCAAGCGACCGGTGGTGAAAAGTTTTGGATGCACATTAGTTGCTCCTAAACGCGTAATGGAACGCAAGCCTCCCAAGGCCTCCACATCAATCTGGCTAACACACGCATGCCGCGTGGGCGGTAGGTGAGCGTTCAATTCCTGTTAGCGTGGGTTGTTGTTTCGGTTCTTTTGGTAGGTGGTTGTGACTTATACAAATAAAAAAGTTAGGTATTATTTGGCTACACTCTAATCCACATTAATATACTATGGTTAAGGTAGATTACAGTGCAGTCAAATAACAACCTACGTCTTGTTTTGCAAATATTAAGGCTATATGGTTTTGGTTCTACTTGAGAGGAGGTGAAAAACAGTGTGGAGCTACAAGCTAGGCCATGTGACTTTTAGTTGCTCTTTACTTTACTTTTAGGCGCACATGAGAAGGCATGCCCGCACAAAAAAATGACCCTCTTAGTAAAGCGTGGCACACAGAAGATATACTTGATATACTTGCACAGTCCTGCTGCTTGATTTTGAGCATTCATGAGATGGACTAGGGCTAGCATGGCCACACGTTCTTTTCTTTCATGTTATTACTCATGGTTTTCTATCTATATATTATGAATTATTAAGACTTTGACCCACGCTCAGGCCAGTGACGACGACATTGGTGTATTGACATGTAGTTATTTTCTCTTTAACGCACATATTACTAGTGGTTTCTTACATAGAATGCAAGATGCAAGCGGCAACTCATTACGTTTGGCATGAATGCTCTAGAAGATCATAACTATCTCATTCCTTTATATGGGCTTTATTAGTATTTTAATTAGAAAATTTAAATTCTCATAAAATTTTGCCAACAATTAGTTAGATTATTATATAAAAGTCGTTTCTATATACTGGGTCGAGCGTGATTGATTATTGACTTTCTTAGAGTTTTGGATCCTATTTTGGCACTTGATTATCGGAGATTCTAACAAATTGAATGAAGACCCACTTATTCTCCTCCCTAAGGAGGATCCAAACGAGTTTAATGACAACCATTCTATATATTAGTCTTATCCATACTCATTGGAAACATTTTCCAAGGCACAGATCCTAGCCAAGGTAGCGATTTGTGTTGGTATGTTTCACGTAGTTCTGGCCTGAAACTCTGGATCACTCACTTCCCTCCAGCCAGCAGGTTCCGGACATGATGTTGGACACCAAGGGCGTGTTTGTTTGCCTCGACTAGGGTGGCCTGTGGGTACCAGCCCAGCCTAGCCAAGTGGAGGCAGCCCCAAGTGGTGTAACTGGACCTGTTTATTTGCCTGACCCAAGCAGGGGCTGGCTAGAGGTGGGACGGTGTTTGTTTGCATGGATAAAAGTGTACGAGTACCTTGCATCAGAAAATTGGTAGCCTTACCACCCCACCCCACACCTTCTTCTTCTTGCTCCTGCTCGCTCTCTTCCTCTCATTGCAGTCGCAGCCTAATTTTTTACTATTTGGCCCTTTTTCGAAGAAAATTTATGTTTGCCCCCCGAGAGACTTAAACTCATCTTTGGATTCTAGGGGTCGGTGCCATGAGTCCTGGCGCCGAGGTAACACGTCTCGGCGCCGCAGATCTTGGCGCCAAGGTGCCTGGCCGTGCACTGTAGGAAATCCTAGGTGGCGTTGACGTGGCCGGTACCTCGGCGCCAGAACACATGGCGCCGAGCTCGGCCGCAGATCTTGGCGCCGAGCTCTCGCGCCAAGATCTGGCGCCGACCGCACACGCACCCAGCGTGATGGGATGGGTGCGCGAAAAAAGCGCGGATCGTGACGTCGTGGCTGCTGCCGCACCCCCTCCCCTCGGGGCGCGTGGGTGGGTTTGCTTTGGGCCTTGCGGCACATCTTGCGAGCAAGGTTGGGGATCTTTGCTAGCTCGATGGCTTTTACGGAGTTGGCAATGCTAGTCGGTGGAGCGGGGCTGTAGTCATTGGATTCCCCATGATGGTATAGTTGGCCATTTGGCTCGGGCACTACCAGGGCCCGCCCCAAGCACGACACCAATAATTAGCACGGCCGTAGTGCGGCCCGGCCCGGCCCCGCGGCGGCTTCGTGCCGTTGGATCTCGCCTTGACCCCACCGTTAGTGCCCGTTGGAATCGGGGTATAAAACCGCCATTACCGGCCGAGCCCTCCGTTGCCCTAATTCATTTGCGGCCGGACACGCTCTCGCTCTCCCCAGGCTGGCGGCCGGCACTCGGTCCTCTCGGCTCGCTCTCGCGGTGGTCGGCGTTGGATCTCGACTCGCCTCTCTCCCCATCGACTTCGTTGGATCCGCCCTTGGAATCCACCGTATAAAACCGCCAATCCCTAACCCTAACCTTAACCCTTGATCTCGCCGTCCTCGCGCCGGATCCGTCGTTGACCTCGCCGGATCCGTCGTCATTTCGGATCTCTCGGTTAGTCGGATCCATCGGATCTCGCTCTCGCTCTCGGACCCCGGATCTCCGGCCGCTTCCTCTTCTTCTCGCTCTCCGGTGGCCTCTCACCTGGCCTCTCCTCACAATCCCTAACCCTAACCCTTGATCTCACTTCATCTCGTCGGATCCATCGTCGACCTCACCGGATCGGCGTTCGCCGGATCCATCCCTCATCGTCTGTGCTCGCTCCATGCCTCATCGACCTCATCGACTCTCTCTCCGGCTTTGAAGGTAAGTCGCCTCCATCACCTAACCTAACCCTAACCTCAATCTCTACTAACCCTTGTTCTATTTTCCGGTGGCCTCTGGAGCCACCGGCGATGGCTAGATCCGGCGACGAGAGTTGTGTTTGTGTGATTATGTGACTTTTGAATTCTCCATGTAACTTTGTGTGACTTTGACTCTTTGATAAGTTCTTTGATTACCTTTGTGAACCCTTGACTTTGTGATTCAATTTGTGACTTTGAACTTTGATAAGTTCTTTGATCTCATTCAGCTTTGTGATTCCGATCG